TGAACTTTTCTAGAATCCCTAATATATGTGTTTTTTTCATAGAGAAATATTTTTTTGATTATTTCCCCCCTGCTGTGGTTATGCTGAGTTTTTCTACAGTTGCAAAACTTCAAATGTATAAAGCAGTGCTACACAGGCAATCTGGTGTATTATTTTGTCAGAATTGTATTTTTAGACTGAGTGCATGGATCAGTGATTATTTCCCCTTGTAAATGAAAAGTAGAATAATGGTTTACAGCTTAGAAAGAGACATTTTGTAAATAGATAATTGGATGGTTCTAAAAAGCCTGGCTAAATACTTCAGCAAAGATAGTATATAGAGTGTTGGGTTAGGTGGAGCTCTCCATTTAGCTGTCTTCTACTCTTTATTTTTATTGTGAAATATAATGCACCTACCGAAAAGATAAGCAGTTTAATAATTATGTATTATAATTTATTTTTTATAAGACAAATATACTCATATAACCACCATCTGGGTACAAAATAGAAAACTATCTTAGAAATTCTCACGTGCCTTTGCAGTTACAACTCCTTTCCTCCCCTTTAAAACTCACCTATCTCCTAACTTTCAGGATACTAATTTTTTACTTTTTTTGAATAATATTGCCACCCAAGTGTATCTCCCTAAATGCTAAATTTAGGTTTTATTTTGTCTGATTTGAATGTTGTGCTTCACGCTTAAGTTTCTATTGCAGTATCTATAGAAATCTTATGGCATTTAAATATAGAAATTTAAAAAATTTTTACTTTAATCATTTGGGGGAAAAAGATTGCTGACTTCTGTTCTAGGATAGTATTAGTCAGCCAAATTACAATGAAGCCAAATATATAAACATGAAATAAGCATTTTCCCAGAGAATCCAAATTGTCTTTGCATTTAGAGCCACCCAATCAGAATAATTAGTAAAAACACCAATGGTTATTTTTCAACGTAAATTCTTATTTGGTTTGGGTGAATAGGAAAATGACTTTTTCCAACACTGGATATTTTTAATTAAAAATTACCATTGGAATAATAATTTTCCAAATAATTTAGCAAATTACTAATAGTGAATAGTTTTCCCATTAGACTAAAAGTATACCTTATATATTCTTAAGATTTTGTAAGTATTTTCATTTGATCCTTTAGAATTTTGAGTAGTACAGTTGTAAAACCAGCTGAACCACTCGCCGGCCCTATTTCTTCTTCTTATTTTTTAAGCTGAGCCATCCTGCCACCTGTTGGCAGCTCAGCGGCTTCTCAACTCGGGCTGGGAATCAAACCACTGTTGCTCAGAGCTCAAACTTTTTAATTTTTATTTATTTACTTATTTTTAGCTGAGCCATCCTGCCACCTATTGGCAGCTCAACGGCAGCTCAGCTTGGGCTGAGAATCGAACTGCTGTTGCTCAGAGCTCAAACTCTTGAGAAAGAGCGAGCTCTTAACCAACTGAGCCACTCAGCTGACCCTAGCCATCCTTAAAATTAAAGTAGAAGGTTTCAAGTGGCTAATGACATTCAATTAAAAGCCTTTATCATGGTTTGCTTAACTATTCTGCTGTTGCTGAGCATTTAAGGTTGCTTTTAATTGGTTGCTTTTATAAATAATACCATGATGAATATCTTTGTGCATAACTTTTTCCCCCTGTATATCATACTTTTCTTTTTTCTTGGCACAGGATTTCAGGCATGGAATTATTTTGATGAGAATGTAATACTCATATGTCCTTCATCTAGATTTACCAGTCACTAACATTTTTACACATCTACCTCTCTCAGTCTCTTTTCATACATGTGTGTAAGTGCATATCATATATATGCACATACACATATCTTAATCTTAGAATAGCCCTTGCCTCTCTCTCTTTTTGTTAAAGCCATGACATTGATTTTTTGAAGAATCCAGGCCAGTTGTCTTGTATTGGGTTGTTGGAAAAGGCATGACGTATTTTTGCAACGAAAAACAGAAAAAATGCGTCATGCCTTTTCTGACAACCCAATAAAATGTCCTACATTCTAGATTTTTATGACCTATCTGGTTTTGTCCTCATGATTACACTCATGTTGCATTTTTGCAAGAATACTTCATAGCGAATGTCATTTCCTTATTTCATCATATCAGGGAAATACATGATACATAATGTTTGTTTGTCCCACTGTGGGTGTTCCTACATTTGATCACTTGCTTAAGGTAGTAGCTGCCAGATCTCTCCATTGTAAAGGTGCCTTTCTCCTTTGTAATTAATAATCATCTGTGAACCTAATTATGTTTGTATTGTGCTGACACCAAGGTGGCTGAGCAGTGATGGGAAAAAAAAAGTCACAAGACAGAGTATATTTGTGACATAAATTCATGATTATTAACCTCACTAGATTCCTAAACTGCAAGATAATCCTGTGTTTCTCTAGTCAGCTTGTGTTCCCCCTCACCACAATAATAATTTGAAAGCTTTTCTCTTCTCAAGGCTGTATTCCTTTACCTTTCGTATTACTTTGGAAAGATGATCTTGGTTCCCTCTACTTCCTGGAAGAAGGAAAGGGGTGTCCCTCGCCCATCATGGAGGAGCAGTTAAGAGTGTCGGCAGTAGAGTTGAGAGTGTATGGTTCTGCATCCCACTTTCAGTAACTCACCCATTTTACTGTGGGCTTAGTTATTAATCAGTCTATCTTGGTCTTCTCAACTGCAGAAGAACTACCATTGTATCTCAGAGTAGTTGTGAGGATTAAATGAAGTAAATCATTGTAAAATACTTAATTAGCATAAGTGCCCGGCATATTTTGCATGTTCAATAAATATTAGCTCTCATTATGCCATTTCTTTGGAAAATTACTGTGTTAATTATTCTGTCTCCTATATCTCCAGCCTCTCCTACTCTGTTGACGTCTTCCTATAAGCACTTAAACTTACATAGACATTTTCTATCTTAATTAAGCTAGCTAACTAACCACCCAATACCTAAGTAACCTTTTCTGCACCTCACATCTATCTTCAGCTTTTTATTCACAGCCACATGTCAACTGTCTACATTTTTTTATAGCCCTTCCCTCCTTTCCCATTTACTCATCCCACTGTGTTCTGGTTTCTGCTCCCAGCATTCCACTAAACTATGCCTGATAAACTCACCATTACCTCTTTATTTTTCTTTAACTTTTATTTATATTTTTTTATTTTTATGTTTTTTAGCTGAGCCATCCTGCCACCTGTTGGCAGCTCAGTGGCAGCTCAACTCGGGTGCAGCTCACTGGCCCATGTGGGAATCAAACCGGCGAGGCGACCCTGTGGCTCAGAGCTCGCACTCTTGACCATTACCTCTTTAAATTCATTTGTATTACGCTTTAACCTTAGTGCTTCCGTTTCATTCTTCATGAAAGATCAAGTTGATCTTTTAAAAATGCAGCTCTGTTCTCATCATTCTCGTGTTAAAACTAGTAGATTTCTATCATTGACATGAAGTCTCAAATTCTAAATATAGTGCACAAGGTCCTGCCTAAATGCCCATCTTTATCTTGTACAATTTCCTTTTCACTCTAAGCACTTGAACCAGGCAAGTTCTTTAATTTCCTTGAACAAGCTATACTTTTATATGAGCCATTTGCATTTTGTCCCTTTTTTTGGATGGCTCTCCATTTTACACCTGTTTCCTTTGTATAGTGCCTATCCTTTGAGGTTTCAGCTTTTGTGTTGTATTCTCAGTGAAACCTTCCCTCACCTGGTTCAGAAGGGGTGCAGGCATCTGTACTTTTTCTTCATATCACTCATCACAATTGTAATTAAATAATTAATTGGGTAATTCTTCTCCAGAATGTAAGCTCCATGAAGACAGGAACTATAACCGTCTTGTTCATTGCTGAATCTCCACATTCTATTGTACTAGTAGAGTTGTTTTACTAGCTGCTAGCAGGCATTCCGTATTTGTTGCAAGAATGAATTATTCCTATTCATTTAGAGAAATGTCACTCATCTCTTTATTAATTCTAAAACCTCTAGATTATTATTTTTTTTAAAGTCAGAATGTTTGGAATTTCATGTGTTCTATGGAGGTTTCCCTGAAGACTTGTACCCCCTCCTTCCAAATGGTCTGAAGATATAGCCCCAAGTGGCTGCTGTAAACAAATGATTTCTTTGAAATCTATTTTATTTTTAAAATATCTGAGCACTTTGCTTTCTGCTTCTTAATGTTCTTATGTTTGTTAAACAAACAAACAAACAAACAAACAGTGCCTAAAACTGGTACCAGGGAGTAGAATAGACATTCTTATGATTAAACATTCCAATTCTTTCAGCCATTCCTCATTTGACATTGTTTCAAGTCTACTCGGTAACCTGTTTACACTACTGCAAAAACTATATTCCATGGTACCAGAACTAAACACAGTCCTTCCAAGTATTATTAGCACAAAGATGTATTGAAGGAATAATGGGCAAAATGTAATGAGACAAAAAGCTGGAACTGCTTGCATTTATCAGTTTTACTCTTGAAATTGATATAGGTACAATAAAAGTAAATGTTTTAAATTGACCTGTTTCTAGAAATAAGGTAAAATTAAATTACTATCTTAAGACTATATAGGCTTAAGACTGTAGATGATGTACTATTGCACCCTTAGTTTTAGCATTGTTTTCCAAATCAACAAATGGTAAAGAAGAACACATTTTTAGTGCAGAAAGTGATTGCCTCTGTGAAGAGATCTGTGAATTGTGTATCATTGTACCACTCACAGTGTGAATAGGCTTAGATGGGTTACTAGGAATCCAACAGCTGTACATGTGTGTGACTACAGTTGTAGTATACTAGATGGAATTCTGAAGAAAATCCCAATTTCAGTGAAATAGGCTTTGCTTTTTAATATATATTCAAGAATGATTAGACAAATGTTTTACTTATAATATTTACTATTCTAGTTAATTGCTTGAAGAATTGAATTTAGAATCCCTGGAGGTTTTCATTTATTATAGTTTGTGATGACTTCATGCATTATACAATGTTTAGTACTGTATGTATTATTTGTGTGTGTAACAGGCAACTCAAAGTTATGTTGACGAATGTCCTATGGACGGATTTAGGACGAAAATTCAGAAAGACCCTACCTAGAAACGATGCTAATTTATGTGATGCCAACAAGGTGCAATCAGACTCATTGCCTTCGACATCTGTTGACAGCCTAGAGACATGTCAAAAATTAGAACCTCTTCACCAAAGCCTTAATTTATCTGAAAGGTATGTTGTTCAGTATTGATTTTGTTCAACTCACCACATTTTGAAATAATATAAGACCAATATTCTTAAAAATAAGATTGTTGGAAATGATCTTTAAGAAAATATGCATATGCAGGTGTGACCCAATGAAAGCAAATCTTTTTAAAGCTGACAATCTTAATTTTCAAACGTAATGATCATTCTGTACTCCATTAAGTAGATTAGCAGAATTATTTTTGAGAACAAGTAAATTAAAAACATTTAATTTACTTTATAATTTGATTCATTTTTAGAGATTCATTTATGATATAAAATGAGATGTATATAGATAGGTAACGACCTAGATTAAAAAACATCTAAAAGGTATGTTAAAGATGCAGAAAATAAAAAAAAGATATGTTAACGTACCTTTTAAATGTGTTTTAATCTAGGTCCTTACCACTTTTGATTTTTTCGAGTTTTCTTTTAAAAGAAGAGATGATATTGAAATATTACTACCAGATCTTTAATGTAAACATGCAGTTTAATTTTGAAAACTAACAAGACAAAATTTGTTTTGTATTTTTTAAAAGAATTGTATATGGAGTTTAGGACTGACAACTGGATTTAGCTCTGGGAATTTGGGATCTGTAACATAGTATCTTAAACGTATTTCCATTTACAGTTTTAACACTTAAATAAATAGTTTTTGAGGGAGGTGCTTTGCTTTCATTTGGAATAACCTGTCATTAGCTAGATAGTGCTTTGGTTATGTGATCTGTAATCTGAATGACAGTGTGGAGGTGTTTTAAGCCAAGATTCAGAAAAAAATCACTAATTTTCAACATACTTATTTTAAAAATAAAAGAACTCTGTCAAAGAATCTGAACATACAATAAGTTAAAAAGATATGTCTTTTAAAAAAGGCAAAACACATAAAAAGCTGAGTAATGAGAATCTCCTTACTAGATCATACCTGCTGTACATTTAACTTTCTAAAGCACCCTACATTTTAGTCAGACAACTTAGCTTCAGTAATTATGAAGCAGTTTGCTTTCATTTTTCTCGATTCTAGCATTTTTCCTTTTTAGTGTGAGTGAATTATTCCTTTAGTGTGCTGATAGATCTAAATAAAGGGACTACTTAAAGGAATGGCCCTTCCAATTCCTTTAACTATTTTGAAAAGAAGCTTAAACTCTTCCAAATGACAAGCTCACCAGTCCCCTCATTTCTCATCTGTCCTTTTCCAACTATTGGGTTGTCGGAAAAGTCATGACACGTTTGTGACAGATGGCATTAGTTCATTTTTGGAAATACTAGAGTCATTCGCATCTATGTTATTGCTATGTCATTTGAGAGCTGACGGTTCCAGCTTCATTCAGAAAAAAAAAATTGAGCAATTTGGTTGAGTTTTGAAGATTTTACAACAAGTTGAAGATGGAAGACCAAACTGTGCATTTTTGCCATATTTTACTGTTTTACTTCCATAAAGGGAAGAATGCAACTTGTGAAAAGTTGCATAAAGTTTATGGTGACAATGCTCTACAAGATACAAGAACATCAGTGCCAACGATGGTTCATAAAATTTCATGCTGGTGACTCTGATCTCAACAACGCTCCTCGGTCAGGGAGTCCCACTGAGGTTGATGATGACAAAATAAAGGCATTGATCGAGTCAAACCCACGTTACACGACACAAGAGATTGCAGAGGTATTGAACATGCATCGTTCAAGTGTTCACGACCACTTGAAGAAGCTGGGATACATAAGCAAGCTTGATATTTGGGTTCTGCATGAACTCGGTTTTTTTTTTGTTTTTTTTTTAGCTGAGCCATCCTGCCACCTGTTGGTAGCTCAGTGGCAGCTCAGCTCAGGCCGGGACTTGAACTGCTGTGGCTCAGAGCTCACACTCTTGAGCAAGCTCTTAACCAACTGAGTAAACTCGGCCAGCCCTCAAAGAAGTTCGTTTGACAGCGCGTATAACATCTGCCATATGCTCATTAAACATGAGGAAAATGATCCTTTTTTAAAGCGACTGATAGAACTGGTGATGAGAAGTGGATTGTTTACAACAAAAGGAGTTGTGTTCCATCACAACAGTGTGAGACCACAGACAAGTTTGATCACCTGTCAAAAATTATTGGAGCTTGGATGGGATGTGTTGCTACACCCACCATACTCGCCTGACCTTGCACCGTCAGACTTCCACTTGTTTCGCTCTCTTCAAAACTCCTTGCATGGTATAATGTTCAATTCAGATGAGGCTTTAAATCAGCTGTAAAACTGAACAAAAACTTGTTCAGTTTTTCGCAAATAAAGACAGGTCTTTCTATAAACGAGGAATTATGAAGCTCACTGAGAGACGGAAAAAGGTTATCGAACAAAACAGGCAATATATCATTGATCTTTGTTCTTTATATAAATAAATGACCTTTGAAACACAGGGACAAAATACATGACTTTTCCGACAACCCAATAGAACAGTGTGATTAGAACAGTGTCATGTTTCATCCTTTTAGAAGAACAGTTTTTTTCACCAGGAATTGTTAGCTAGATTATGTGTTCATGAAATTTAAATATAATGCAAAGAGTCTCAATAAGATTCTAATTTGGTTTTTACCGTTTTTTTTTTTGTTTTTTATTCGCTGTCTGGTGTGAACTACCAGCTAGTCTAGACTTTTTCCCTCAGCTCCAGGTGTCTTAAATTTAACTTGTTCAAAGTGAATGCATCATCTTTGTTTTTAGACTTGTTCTGAATCTGTATCCCCTCCCTGTCTGAATATATGACTCTTCTGTATACTCAGTTCTCCAAATTAGAACTAGGAGTTGTCCTGATTCCTCTTTCTTCATTACTCTTCATATCCAGTCATTTATCATGTCTAGTTATTTTTACCTCCTAAGTCTGAATATGATCTCTTCTCTAACTTTATTGCCACTGCCTCAGTTCAAGCCCTAGTAACTTTGTGCCTTTATTACTATGATAGTAACTGGATTGGGCTTCATGCGCATACATAGTCCTTTCCTTCTTGGTTATTTCCCTGTATTGTTGCCAAAGTATTCATTCTCAAAGGCACATATTTCTTGTCACTCTCTAGTTTAACATCTTTCTGTGACTCCACATATCCCTTCACGATAAAGTTTAAACTCCTTAGCTTGGCATACAGGGTCCTTAATGATCTCACTTTTGCCTATCTGTAGCCTTGCGTCTGTCCACTTCTCCACATTCACACTGTGTTTTAGTCGTAGGGAACTATTGGTAGCTCACTGAATGTATAATACCTCTGAGCTCATGCTGTTTGTTCTCTTATCTTGTAGGCAGTTCTCCTTTTCGCTTTTACTGACTTCCATTGGTCTTTAACATTGAGCTCATATGCCATCTTTTGGGAAATCTTCCTTGATTCTTCCCCCAGCCCATCTGCATTTGATCCCTTTCTTTGTCTTGCTAAGCAACCTGTTCATATATCGTATAACTCATTACACCATATTGCAGTTTTTAGTTCCTCTCCCTCCCTGACAGTGAGCTTCATGAAGGCAGGAGCTACATTTTATTATTTTTCCTCTATTAGTAGTACCTAGCACAGCACTGGACACATACTGAATGCTCAATAAATGTTTGCTGAATAAAGGGACGAGATGATTGCTTCTCATCAATTACATCTCGAGCTTTTTGAATGGGGAATGTAATTTCCTCTGTTAGAACCAATTATTTGCTCTGTAATTTTGGTGGATAAGAAAAAAACAAAACAGGAAAGGAGATATTACAAGCTTCAAATAAGTAAGTTGAGAACTGTTTAGGTTATGGCTTTGGATAGATGTTTTCTGTGTCGGACTTCCTACCTGGAATAGGAGACTTATGCATTGTTTAATCTTTGCTTAACTTTGACATGATGCTTTTCGTTTTATTTTTATCTTACTTAGCTAGGACTTCATCATTTCAGAAAGATGGAAGGGAGAAGAAATTATTTTTGGTTTTTAATTTTATCTTAGAGTTAACTATTGAGGAAACCAAAATTATTCATTCAATCTCAGAAATGGCATTTTGTTAGAAATTTTATTTGCGTTCTAGGAACTAAAGGTAGTGACCTAAGTATGTTGCCTTTTATGTGAGGACAATTTAGCATTTTAATTACTGGATAAGATTGAGAAGAAAAACACAAAACACATGATTCAAATCAATTTTGTTAAGTAGTAAGAAAAGGTCAAGAGTTCTAGAAATATTAAACTAGTAGTATGTGGAATGCACAAATTTCTTTTTAAATAAGTAAACCATATTTTAATGTAGGTTTTATCTTCATATGTGGTTTTATATCTATTTTCTTGGGAGAAAATTTCTAGACATTTATGAACCTTAGTCAATAGGCAAGAAAGAGACTGGTGGGACACAACCACAAGGCTTTTGAGAAGATAAACCATCTTTCTCCTGCTTTCATCAATTGGCACCAGAGATTTTTAGAGAAGTATAGAGACAGTGTACCCATATTTCATTAACAAAGGTAACTCCTGGTTCTTGAAATTTCCCTAAATGGTATAATTATATTTATTCATATTTTTCTTAAATTTACATACGTTTGAGGTTTTTAAGAAGTACATATTCCAGATGTGGTGATGGTAAGACTTTTTGTATACTATAGTATTTCTATCACTCAAGTTTTCTTTAAGCCAGTAATATTCTACTTGAGTGATAATTTATTCACTTAAAACTTAGCTTAGTAAAAGAGCGAATTTAGAAAATTTGTGCATCCCTTTAAGAAAGTTATTAAAAAATTAATTTTTTTCTCTACATAGGTTAAGAGGGTGATTTAGAAAGAATATTTTGAATTATATCATTTGGGATAAGAATGGATTTATGAGAACCTTATTAAAACATCACATAGTACAGTTTTAGAAAGGCATTCATGTAAATTATACCAACATGAAAACTAAATTAGTATTATAACTTTTTATGCTTATTATATTGTAGCTTTATTACCAAGTATAATTATATTATCTTTTAACAAGGGTTTCATTTCTTTAAAAATTTGTTAACATGAAATTTATATTAATAGCTCATCAGTTTTTCAGATTTCCCCCCATTTATTAAATTCTTTGAATCTTAAATTTCCCTTGCTACTTATGCAGGGAAGAAACCTACAATTCGTAATTGAGAAAATTAAGAATCAGAAAAAATAACCTTGCAGAGACAAAATCAGTAAATGGCAATACTTCTCAGGCCAGTTCACCTACTGCACTGTAAAATTTGTTTCTGCTTTGGTTTAGCATATTATATTTTTAAGTATGATTTCAAAATATTATTAAATAAACAAATTATGTTTTATTTTGCTAATACTATTTATATCCTTTGGAAGAAAATTGGATAGACTGTGTGAAATGACAATTTTCAGTCCTTCCTTTCATATTGAAATAGTATGAGAGATGAACATTTATGTATTGCTTGTAAAAATTCTTAATCTCTTGAAATGGGGGGCTATCCTTAGAATTTCTGTGGCAGTGCTAATTCATATAATTGTGTACCAAAAGATAGCTTTGGTATTTTGAACTTACAAATCTATAAAAGTCAGCACTTTATAGATTTGTATATTGTAAGAGTGTCACACAAAGCCCTCTGTTTCCTCAAGGTATTCAATTTGGATAAGTCGTCAATAGTTGATGAAAGATGATTGGTCTATGGCTCTGTGTTATGAAGAATTGGGTGTAGTTATAGGCATTGATAACTATTCAGGTATTTTTGTAATAGCATATTGTATTTTCATCAAGATTGCAGAAAATGGTAAATTATGACAATTAAGCACTATTTGTAAGAGGATAATTTATAACTTTGAGCAAGACTTCAGTAATAGGAAAATTAAAGTGAATTTCCATTTATTGTGTACTTACTATGTGCCAAGATTTGTGCTAACTGCTTTACATCTTAACAACTTAGAAAGGTAGATATTATTCTCCCCATTTTAGAGATGAGATCAATGCTAAGAGGCATAAATTAAGGTAAGTAATTTGCCCAAGGTTATATATAGTTATTAGGTACTAAAACCAGAACTGACCCTATGTTTGTCTGACTCCAGAGCCTTTGCTCTTAACTTCTGTGCCATACTGCTTTTACTGTAATGAATTTTAATTTTTTTCCCATAAGTAGAGTAGGAATTGGACTTTATTACATATTTTATACGATATCTAATTCATTAACGTTTAAATATTCTGCTCATTCTTTAGTTTTTTTCCTTGTGGCATTTGTTCACATAGTAATTGAGTGCTTTCTAATTTGAAGGTATACCGTGGTAGACATGTTGAGATAGTTCCTTAAACCTTCTGATAGCTTCAGAGTCCCTCTACGGCTCTTGTTCTTTAAAAGATGTGGATTCTACTGCTGCTTGGTATAAAATCTTTCTAATAGTTTTGGGTGAATTTTGAAAATTTTCTAGGAAAGACTTTTAGCTGTTTGTTTAACTTAAAAGGTCTCATTTATCCTCCAAAGTTCTTTTTTCATATCTCTTCTTTGCTTTTTCTTTCTTTAAAATCTAGTAGCAAACCAAACCATACAAGAATAGGATGATCATTTATTATTCAGAAGAGAATTCTAATCTTTAAAAACTTTCCCATTCCTTCCTGATATTTTTTTTCTGATGTTCTCTTCAACACTTCATATAGGACTAACTTTTATGGACACTATCTCCCCTATTTTGAGAGACAGCTTTTTTTAGGGACTCAATATTTTCAAATAAATTTAAATATACTATAGTCATTGAAATAGAAATACTATATGATTGCTGACATTTCTTTGATGTGTCTCCTGATATGCCCTAAATTTTCTCTTTACTTAAATATTACAGTTTCTGGATTATTTTTTATTATGGGACACATTTTATTTTATTTTATTTATTTATTTTATTTTATTTATTTTTCTATTACTAGCTTCAGGTGTACAGAACAATGCAATAGTTATCCTTAACACCCCTCACAAAGTAACAACCCCCCTCCACCCATCCACTGCTCTCCCACCCCCGATATCATACTTATCTATTACAATTCCACTGACTCCATTCCCACACCCTACTCCACATCACGTGACTATATGTATATATAATTATAGTTGACATACAATATTATTCAACATCAGCTTCAGAAATGCAGTGTGGTGGTCAGGCCTCTACACTTGACTATGAAGTGGCCTCCCTAACAAGACATGAGTCCAATTGGCCTAAGGGACACATTTTAGAATTTAGTAATCATAGGGGACTATAAAAAATATATCATCAATCCTTAAAATGAGTTATCAATTTAGTATATCAGATTCTCTCATCTCTTAAAAGTAAGTAAAATTTTATGTACACTATAATATTCATCTGGGAAAAAAACAGTTGTAACCTGAATAAAATTTTCTCTGCTTACATTCTTGTATGTTTCCTAAAGTATTGAGAACCACAGCTGAGTTTTCTTTAACAATTCATTTCATAGCAATTGCTAGTGTGAAGTCAGGTAAAAGAAACCATTAGACTCCTTACTAGTCCTGTACTGTCCCCATTACCACTTCAAATACAGGATTTTAAGGAAAGTTCTGTCAGGCATCAGATATACAAAACAGACAATAATAAATAGGATCCTTAGAGATTTAAATCATTTGAGGAGGTCCCAAAATATCTCTGCCCTCTCCTCCTTGCAATTAGTGGTTGTGTTAGATGGCAGATTTCCTTTCTCTTCTTCTTCACTTAAACTCTGAGTTTAGGGTGTTATATTTACTATTCATCTTAATTTTTAGATCATATATACTTCTTAATTATAGCAATACTTTTTTGTGGTGGTTGTGCTGGAAGTGGATGTTTTCAAAGATTTCCTGAAGTATTGATAGAAAAGCTTAGTTATCTGGATCTTTTGGCAAGTTGGTACTGGGGATACAGTGTAATGGAATAAAATAAAAAAAGAAAGATAATAAATATGCCCAGGTTCTTTTACTAGGAAGAGTTACTTATACTTGGGCGGGATTTAACTTTTCTGAGCTTTGAGTTCTTCATGTTTAACATAAAGAGAAAACGAAATTATTTTATAATTCTCCTAAGATCTGAAATTCTATGCTGTCTGGAACATAGTGAAAAGAACATAGTGCCTCTATGTAGGGAAAATAAAGAGTACCTCTCTAAGTACTACAGCAAATATAATAAAATACATTTAGGGAAGTTCACATTTTTCACTTAAAAGTACTTTGGCCTTTTTAAATGTTATTTATTGTCTCTCTCACAAAGAGTCAGTAAAGTGCTGCTAGTGACACATTGATAATAGCAGTATGAAAACTTAAAAAATGCAGTAACAAGAGCTGAAAAAATTACAAAAATTTGGCTTGGGCCACTCAGTTTAGGGCCAAATGGTAGCCTTGAGGGCATCACTGTAGTGTGACAAAGTATATCAGTTCATAATAACAACTGGCCAACCAAGGAAAGATTATACTACCCTCTTCTGTTTAAGAAGACACCAGGCTTACATAGTACATTTGATATGAACCCTGTCAATTTAAAAAGCTTGGAGTTTTAAAAATACACTTTAGTTTTCTAAACATTTAATTTATTGACTCTTTCTCTGATGCTATTATATACAGCATATACAGAGGGTGACAAAAAATATATACACATTTTAAGAAAGGAAAACTGTATTAAAATTGTAATAATATATACCGATAACAAAAGATGAATACAAGTCACGTTTGACTTCTTCAATTACAAGAGGTGCTCAAAGTGGTTACCATCAGTGTCGAGACACTTCTGATTACAGCGAAGTACTGCTTCAGCAATGTTGACCGAAGTGTCCACTTGTATACATTTTTTTGGCACCCTTGGTATATTACCATCAGTATATGTGCTGTTTCACTGAGGAATCTGTCATTACCATATGTGCAATCTAAGTGATGTCTTTCTTGTTGGATTTAGCGTTTGTCGTTTTTCAATTGCAAGTCCATAATTACTTATTAAGGACCTTTATATTGAATGATAAGAATAAAGACTTCTTGAATTGGTTTGTAAGTAATTTGTGTTTTTAGTAACAACTGGGAAAGAGAAAGCATTTTTTGAGAAAAATTGTTTAAAATTTAAAGCACCCCAATAGCATCCATTCTTACAGTTAAAACCGTTGTAGTGGCAGGCTAATCTGTGCCAATTTAGAAGACACAAGTACTTCTAGAACCAAAACAAAGAGTGTGTTCATCCAAAAATTTTAGTATTTACAGGTTGGTTTCTAGGATGGTATAATTTTATAGCTTCCTTGTGCTAAGATGAAAACGTTTGAAAATTGAACTTCCTAGAATATATTTTTTACTGTAAACTTCAGTACAGTACAGTGTTTGTTATTTTGTGTGACAGGATACCCAGAGTTATATTGACGAATGTCCTGGGAACGGAGTTAGGAAGAAAATACATAAAGACTTCTCCTGTAACTGAGGCCAGTTTGGGTGATACAGACAACTTGCAATCAGAGCAGCTTTCTTCATCATCTGATGGCAGCCTAGAATCTTGTCAAAATCTAAATCCTCACAAGAGCTCCTTTTTATCTAAAAGGTATGTTTAGTGATAACCTCACTCAGAATAAATATTACACTTATTCTCATGAGCCCTCCTCTGTTCTTCCCCCACAGATATGTCATTGGTAAATGTGAGGCAAATGTGCTCTGGTGACTAGTATGACTTTTGTCTCCTGGTGGCTGGAATGGGTGTTGGAACCAACAAATAATCAGTTTCAAAAAGTACTGCTCACTCTAAAAAAAACTTGTGTTTTTGGAAAATAGATGCAGACTCTTAATGAAATTTAGTTACCTATTTTAGTATTTCATTCTATTTGTGTGGTATAATTGAAACCCATTCCCCTGACATCTGTCTATTCCTCCTCCTTCTCTGTCTTATCCATTCATCTGGTTGGCCAGCTGTCCATCTGTCCATCTATCCATCCATCCATCCATCCATCCATCCATCCATCCGTCCGTCCGTCCATCCATCTTATCTTATTTACTATTTCTATATCAGATAGTACTTAACTCAATACATTTTGAATTTTGTGTACTTGGGTTAATGTTTATATCATTTTACCTTGAGCTTTGGCTTCCTGAATTTTAAAAACAGACCTTCCTACCTCACAAAATTGTTTATTATCTCTCTTGAATCTCACAAGTGAGAATTCTTTGTGCACATAAAATATATTAATAAAAATGTTATTACTGAAGACTTATGTAATACGACTTATGTCATTTGAATTCCATGGTAACAGTACAGCATAAGTGGTCATTTACCATGAAGTTACAGTTACCATGGAATTCAAATGACATCAATTCACATTCATTTTGTTATGAAAAATAGCACTAATTGTGAGGATTCTAGGAAGCTATTACATTAAATCTGTTCTTTTCAGGCTTTATACCAATCTGGGGATAAGGTTTAATAATAATAGGTCTAAAATTTCTGGATGTTCCTAAAATATATTCAGTAAAAACTCTAGCTCCTCCCAAGTTCTTTCTAAATAGTTATTGTCAACAAAAGTTTGCTGCCACCAAGCTAATGTCGATAAGAGTCCCCAGTCTGGGGTGGGGAAAGAGGAGAAACTATTCAAGCCAACAATTTGAAAACAGGTAAATGTAGCCTCAAGTGGAAACAGTACATTCCACAGAGACAAAGGGGAAGCCATCTTTTATAGATAAAGTTCCCACTTGACCCCGCCCCAAATCCATTTTTATGCAAATGAGGAATCCAAATAGCACAGTTCTGATTGGTTGGAATTATACATTCTGATTGGTCGTTATGGAGCAGCTCTGATTAGTGAATATAGCCACAAATGGGGATATAGCTACCCACTTCTGATTGGGTGGGGCAGGTCTTAGTCCACTGATTGCAAGATGATACCAGGAAGTCTTGTATAAGGGTTGACACAGATGGCAGATGCATAGTGCAGGAAGCTGAAAGCTCAGTCTGTAGATTTTTCCTGAAATGCAACATGCATGAGAGGCTTCTGTTGGCAATGGCTGTTAGACTCTAGTTATGAATTTGTTTCCAGTTAACCACAAGGAGTCCTTCAAAATTTCCAGGTGGTATTTGATATGATCCCTGAAAATTTATTCTGTTGGTGGTTATTTATTTATTTTTATTCTTGCAATAGTCATAGACTTTGGAGACAGACATCCGGATTTAGATCTTAGCAGTACTTCTAACATGCTGACTTGCTTTGGGCAAGTTACTTATTCTGTCTTTAAAATAGGGATAATAATATACACTTTATAAGATTAGTGTACAGATTTAAGGAGATAAGCTATGTAAAGTCTCTAATATAATGCCTGGAACTTAGTAGGTGATTAATAAATGGTAGTCATTATTTTTATCTCTCTTATCACTGCTGATAATCAACAAGCCATTAAAGGCTGTAGTAGATTATGTTACTGAAATCTTCTATTGTGAGGATGACAGTGTCTTATCCTGAGATTATGGCTACTCCTGTTGCCTTTGCCAGTGCTGCCAAGGCAAATGTCACAGCTATGCTAGTATTACCATTTGGTTTATACCACTCCTTAAACCAAGCTTTAGTTCTCTCCTCCATTAAAATGAGCTCATTTTGTGGAGAATCGAGAGTGCTCTGTGGAAATAAATTGCAACTTCAGTTGATGGGCTCCATTAGAACTGAAATACAGTATGAAGTACAGCATAGGCTCAAGGATGAGACTCTTGTAACCAACCTTCTCCCAGCCTGCCTGTCTCAAAATCAGGAAGAGTACATAAAAATTATTTAGATTGTCTTAGAAGGAGACATGATGTTCTGCCATTATTGTTATCCTGATATACACACCAACTCTTGTTATGAAGATATAATGTCAAGAAGCAACCAAAAATTGATGGGTGAAAGAATGGGGGCTATGACTGAAAAGTGAGGAGGTTTCCTCTGAAAACCTAGCACTTCTGCTCTTAATGATGCATGTGGAAAATGTTATAGAACAGCTACAAATCGTACTTTAGCCTTAGCCTGTCTTTAGTGTTCAGAAGTGTTATTACTGACTATAACAGATAACCTTAATGGAATTATGTAGGAAAAAAATAATCTAGTTTTTATGCCAAAGGTAAAGGAATAATAGAAAACACCAAGGATAAATAGAAAATTTAAATTAATATGGTCTCCCTCAAGAAGCATATTTGTTTTTTTCTAGATGAAAATTTATTATTTTAACATGCAGATACTTGTTAACTTTTATATTACTTATGTAACAACTTTTAACTGATATTTTTATTGTCTTTACCATGATATTGCACTGTGATTAATGCCATACCTGTGTTTAACTTAGTACAGGCTTGAATTGCAGCTCTGGCAATTTGCTTAACTTCTTTCTCTATGCCTCAGTTTACCTCATCTATAAAATGAGGTAATAATACCTAGGTATGATGGAGGAGTAATGAGAGGATCAGCTTTTTTCTTTTAATTTGATAACTTCCACATCAATACATAGAGATTTATTTTATCTTTTTATGTATATGTACTTCCTCTTGAGTAGACATTTAGGATATGCGTCATTTTTTGTTTGTATACCAATGGTACTACAGTAAGTGGATTATCAATATGTCTTTGAATATTTATTCTTATAAATCTTTATATTACCATTCTCCTTTATTTTAACCAGAATTAGGTGTTATAAAATTTTTTTTGATAGCCTGCTGGGGAAAATAAATATAATTGTTTTCATTTCAATTATTCTTTATTTTTAGTAAAGATGGATTTTTTTATTATATGAGTTTTCTCTTTAGTTTTCATATGTTTCCTATTGATTTGTAAGAACTCTATTTATTTATTTATTTTTCTATTTTAAAGATTTTTATTGGGGAATTAGGGGGATGGGAACAGACAAGTTGCTGTCCTTTTGTTCTTCAGTCTAGTAGTGGAGGACGTTGCTTCACTGGCCCAAGTTGGCACCATCATTGCTCTTCCCAGGCGAGGCACATCAGTCGCCGGCTTCTGGACGGCCGCTCACTGCGGCTGCTGGCCGCTCACCCTGGCTGCTGGCTACATATGGTAGCCCATGGCAGCCCACTGCCACAGGGGCTGCAGCCTATGCTGTCGCCGGCAACTCACGGCAGCCCAGCTCCAGGTTGAGCTGTTGTTCAGCATCTTAGCTGTNGAGGGCAGTGTCACTGGCCCTCATATGTGGGATCCGAACCGGGGCCCGCTGGCGTCCCAAGCCAGTTCTTAACCATCGCGCCACTCGGCCGGCCCCTGTAAGAACTCTTATTAGAGGTATTAACTCTGCTATATTTGTTGCAATTTTTTTTCAAGCTTCCTATTAGTAATTTTACTTTATTTGTAGTATCATCTATAGTATAGAAATTTAAAAACTGTATTTTGTAAAACCTGTCAGTGTTTTGGTTTATTCTTGGAAAGACCTTCTCAACCCCAAGTTTAGAAATAGGTCAGTCAACTACTGTTTTAATTTGTGATGCATTATACTATCCAGAATAAGAGTCTGGAAATTACTTTTCTAATTGAAGTTCTGATTCCTTTTTTGCATTTCCGTAGTTTGGTTTAAATGTCTATGGGTTGTTTCCACCTTTTGTCTATTGTGAATATTGTTGTACAAGTTGTACAATGTCTCTATTTTCAGTATTTTTTAAAATAATTTTTTATTTTTCAATTACAGTTGACATTACAGTTGACATATTTCAATTACAGTTGACATACAAATACAATATTATATTAATTTAAGGTGTACAGCATAGTGATTAGACATTTATGTAACTTACAAAGTGATCATTTTCACGAGTCCAGTACCTATGTGACGCCATACATAGTTATTACAATACCACTGGCTATATTCCCCATGCTATATTCTACATCCCCATGACTATTTTGTAATTACCAATTTGTATCTCTTAATCCCCTCCCCACTTCACCCATCCGGCTGCCCAACCTCCCCACCCCCACCCCAGTCAGGCAATCAAAATGCTCCCTGTATGTATTAGCTTGTTTCTGTTTGGTTTCTTTATCCTGTTCTCTAGATTCCACATATGTGACATTTGTCTTCTCTGTCTGACATTCTCTACTCTACACAATACCCTCTAGGACCACCCATGTTGTTACAGATGGCAATATTTCATACTTTTTTATGGCTGAGTAATATTCCATTGTATATATGTACCACCTTTTATTTATACATTCATTCATTAATGGAAAGCCAGGTTGCCTCTATATCTTGGCTATTGTAAACAATGCTTTAATGAACATATGGATGCACATGTTCCTTCGAAGTAGTATTTTGGGTTTCTTCAGGTGAATACTCAGAAGTGGGATTACTGGGTCCTTCTTTGTCTCTTGTTACAGCATTTGGTTTAAAGTCTAATTGTCTGGTATAAGTATTGCTACTCCAGCTTTATTTTCTCATTTCCATTTTCATGAAATAACTTTTTCCACCCCTAAGCTGTGAACTGAGGCCAGCTACTACTAGTGCTGGGCTTGGGGCTGCTTAGTAAGAGGAATAGGGCATGGTGAGGCCAGTTGCTTCTTGTTTTGGATGTGTCAGCCTTTGAGAGATTTTAGGAAA